TTTTGCACACTAGGCGGCTACCTTCTGGCGCCCCCCCCCCCCACCAATTTTCAAAGACAAATGCATTTTAGGAAGAATGAACAACACAAAATTAAAAATTGCTAATTTCTTCTTCTTTTTTATTGTGAGAATAAATAGCTTGGCTCTTCTGAAGTGGATTCTGACCAGTATTCAAAAAAGGTTCAGATTGATGATATTTTCTCAATACTCATATGCAAATGACTTGTTTGGATTATGGCCCACATCTATTTATTGAATATCTTTAATAGTAATCACAGGTCTGGAGCACAATACAAGTCATATTAAGAATCCACAGCACAATATAATAAATATTGACTCCCTAAGCAGCAGCCACCTCCCACTCCAGGTATTTTAAATGAGTACCATTTTAAGCAGAATGTGGTAGTGGTTAGTGTCTCAAGACTAGGATCTGGGTTCAAATATTTACTCTAGCATGAAAGCTCACTGGGTGACTTTGGTCTAGTCACAGTCTTTCAGCCTAATTACCTCACAGGGTTGCTGTTGTGAAGATAAAATAGAGGAAGGGAAAATGATGTTATAAGTCATTTTGGGTCCTCAGTTGGGAGAAAAGTAGGGCATAAGAATCTAAATAAATAAATTAACTAGCAGTCACAACAAGTCACAGCCACCTTGCTGATCTATGCTCTCTGCTTCTCAAGCAGAAAATAGCAAAATTTATGCTTTCAACAGGAGACAACCAAAGCTGTTATCACTAAACAGAAGGAACTATCAGAACTCTCCTAACCAATATACCTAACCAATGAGAGCCAGCGTAGTGTAGTGGTTAAGTGTGGCAGACTCTAATCTGGAGAACCGGGTTTGATTCCCCATTCCTCCACCTGAAGCTTGTCAGGTGAACTTGGGCCAGTCATTCTCCCAGAACTCTTTCAGCCCCACCTACCTCCGATGCTCCCTCTAAGCTGTGGAACCTTGTGAGCAAAAATTCTACTTTGTGAGCTTCTGGCATTAAAGTTTTGAGCAAGTGATTTGGCTGCTGTGTAAATTAGTTTGCCCTGGAGCCATCCTTCCTGAGCTAAGACAAAAACATGTGAGCTGGAGGCTAAAAACTGTGAGCTAGCTCACACTAACTCAGTTTAGAGGGAACACTGCCTACCTCACAAGGTGACTGTTATAGGGACAGGAATGAAAGGTGATTGTAAGCTGCTTTGAGACTTCTTAGGGTAGAGAAAAGTGGGGTATAAAAAACAACTCTTCTTCTACCTTGAGGACAACGGACTGGTACTATTAACTGACATTTATGCAGCACCATATGAATTGCACATATGGCTATTTTCATGAACCTGCAAGCTATTGCTGGCAAGCTGGGTGCAAAATGCATGGACCCAGTTCACTGCTGATATAAGGTATGCTTTGACACCCAGAATATATCTCTCTGGTCTGTGGGTCAAAATAGACATTATGCTGGGAGATTATGTCAGCATTTTAAAAGCTAACCGCTTCTGTACAGGACCCCAATTAGAATCAGGGTTGCTGCATAAAGGAAGTTCTAACCCTGATATGGTAAGAAGAGAAAGAGAACTAATTCAAGTACAACAGGCCATATTCAGTCTCATAGTCTGTAGAAATAAGAGAGTCAGTATCTGTACAAAATATTGTAAAGAACCTGTCGCCAGATCTGCACCAAGATGATTTTTAAGGGGGAGGGGCGATGTTAATCCCAAATTTTCGGTTCCCCCCCCCACCATACAGACACCTAACCAACTGAAGGGAAAATGCTACTGGGGGGGCTAGCTCACTCACCTGGCCAGAGAGGGAGCCGCTGCTGCTGTGGGGGAGACAGAGGAGGAGGAGGAGGCAGCCCTGTGTGTCAGCCATGCTGCCAGCCAGACCCTGGCACTCTAGGGTGGGTGGGCCATGGGAGTGCCTTGGTGTCAGCAAAGGGCTTTTGGCAAGGGAGGGGTGCCGGAGTGGGGGCTGGGTGGCAGGCCAGGGGGGGACCCACCCAAGGTGGCGACCTTAGGCAGCTGCCTAACCCCACCTTATGAAAGTGCCGGCCCTGCTCACAGGCTCAGAAAGTTTGGGAACCCCTGCCCTACAGCATATTAAACTTCATCTACAACCTTTAAGGATCTTCTGCAGCCATGTCTGACCTTCTGAGGGTACTATGGGTGAAGTAATTGTATTGATAACTTAGCTTGTTAGGCACTCTATCCTGTTTTAGCGGCAGTGGCTCTTTCTGTATCTTTGGGCCACCATGGATGTAGTATATTAATGAATCCACCACCTCTCTTTAGATTAATATTTTATTTAAATCAATACACCACAACTCCTGATTTTTTTTTCTGTTATACTGATTAGATGCTCAGCTGATGTCACTGGTCAATATGTATTCCCAACTAAAGATGGAAAAACCAGGACATGCAGATATGATCATCGAACTCAGGTGTATGAAGCTGGGTGCCAGTTTGTACCAGATAGAAAGCAAAGTACTCCAGCATCTATAATGTACATGCAAAGTCTCTCTTCAGTAAGTATGACTAATGTCTGTTGGGAGGATATGGGATCTAAAATCTGCCCTCAGGAATTCAAGATATTGTCTGTCTGTGTCCAGTTTGTATGAGCTGAAGATCAGTTCAGAAGTCTGGGTTCCTACAGCCAATCAACATTTTAAAACCAATTTACCTAATTTAATCAAATTTTACCAACAATAAAAATAATATTTTACCAACTATTAACAGTAGCTAATAGTGTATCTCTGCCTCTCTTACTCCTCAATGAAATGGTTCCTTCTACTTTTTCCTCTTTTATTTCGTTCCCTCTTTGTATTCCTGCTTTTCTTGATTGTCGGTCTCATTCTTTGACATTCTAGTTTTGCTCTTAATATCCACTATTGCTTTCTTCAGTTTTCCCAGGTCTTTAGATGTTGTTAGTTTTTCTGTCATCCAACTCCAGTCATCTCAATTTAAGCATTGATTCTTATTCTTTTCAAGGTTCAGGGTCCTTTACTCTGAAACATCTGGAGTTTGATGGCATATTCTGGATGCCTGTCTTTCTTCTAGCATCAGCATCCTCAACCTGTGTTAATGAAGGCCCTTTACACATGCACAGCTTACTGCAGAGAATCCAAGCAGTCAAGCCTTTAAGCTTGACTTCAGATTCTGTGCTTACAGTATGCACCATTCTTTTTTCTCAGATGCATTTATTCTGCAGCTCAGCCACTGCAGAATAAACACACCAGCAGAAGAAGGCAGCCCAGCTGGGCTCCCTGTATGTGTGGGCAGCCGATGGCTCCTGGCAGGTGCAGCTCAGTGTTGCCTCCTCTTGCCACCAATGGCTCCCCACACGCACAGCTTGGTGCTGCCTCCTCCTGACATCCAGTTGAAACCAGGTGGCAGGAGAGGATGGCCCAACCGGGCTCGCTATATGTGTTGGAAGCTGATGGCTCCCAGCAGGTGCAGCTTGGCACTGCCTCCTCCTGATACCCGGTTGAAACCAGGCAGAGGGAGAGGACAGCCCAGCCAGGAGTCTTAAAAATATATATATTAAAATGTGGGTGGAGAACTGGCCTATGAGGGGCAGACACAGGGTGAGGGGGAAATCTGAGGGAATGCATACACCTTTGAATTACCTTCAGCTTGGAAGTGAAGTAAGGGGAAAGCCAGCAAAAAAGCAGTCTCAGAAAACTCAGGGAAACAGTGAACAAAAAGCAAACTGAGTGCTGAAGGGAGGAGATGAAATGCAGAATGAAAAAGAAATGCTGACTGAGATGCTCAGCAAAAGCAAAGCAAAACATCTATGCATAAAAGGCCAAAGTCTCCAAAACCAAGGGAAAAATTGAAGAAACCGGGGGGGGGGGTAGGTTCTACCCACAAGCAGCAAAAATAGGCTACTCTGTAGGAGCTCATAACTCAATAGGTGAGGCTCTACAATCCACCTGAGGGTCCCAATCCATGGGCTGAAGACCACTATTATTTATTTATTTATTTATGTATTACATTTATTAATTACATTTACATTTATACCCCGCCCATCCTGTGAACAGGCTCAGGGCGGCTAACAAGAGCGGTACAATGTACCTAACTGACATAGCCATAAAATTTAAAACTACATGAAATACATACTAACTCATATATAATAACATAACAGTTATCAATAAAGTGCTCGCAATGCTGACAAATTAGATGGCACACTCTTCAGATCTAAGTCCACTTGTCCTTCCGATCATCATCCCTCGAGCAAATACAAGCCTGGCGATGCATCTGGGCCAGTTCTAAGCTCCAGAAGTTCGATGGAATCATTGATGGCATCAGTAGTGGTGGCGGCTCCTATTGAAAAGCCTGGTGGAAGAGCTCCGTCTTGCAGGCCCTGTGGAACTGTAAAAGGTCCCGCAGGGCCCTGATCTCCTCCGGGAGCTCGTTCCACCAGTAAGGAGCTGCCACAGAAAAGGCTCTGGCCCTGGTACTGGTGAGCCTTGCATCCTTGGGACCTGGAATAGTCAAACTGTGTTGGGCCCCTGACCGTAGTGCTCTCTGGGGTATATATGGGGAAAGGCGGTCCCTCAGGTAGGTCGGACCCTGGCCATGTAGGGCTTTAAAGGTAACTACCAGCACCTTGAAGTGAATCTGGTATGCTATTGGCAGCCAGTGTAGTAACCTAAGCACAGGCTGGATGTGCTCCCGACGTGGGAGATCCATCAACAGCCTGGCCGTGGCGTCCTGCACCAGCTGCAGCTTCGGATTTGGGACAAGGGCAGTCCCATGTAGAGAGCGTTACAGTAGTCAAGCCTCGAGGTGACTGTCGCATGGATCACTGTCGCCAGGTCGCGGCGGTCAAGGAAGGGAACCAACTGCCGAATCAGCCGAAGATGATAGAAGGCCAATTTAGCTGTTGCTGCTACCTGGGCCTCCATTGTCAAGGAGGCATCCAGGAGCACCCCCAGACTCCTAACCTCTGACGCTGGCATGAGAGGTGCCCCATCGAAGGCTGGGAGCTGGACCCCAACCCCGAACTGCCACGACTCAGGCACAGGACCTCCGTCTTTGCTGGATTCAGCTTCAACCGGCTCAGCCGGAGCTAACCAGCCACGGCCTGTAACGCCCGGTCTAGATCTTCCAGTCCGGAGTTTGACCGGCCACCCAACATCAGATAGAGCTGGGTGTCATCAGCGGACTGATGGGAACCCAGCCCAAACCTCCGAGCCACCTGGGCAAGGGGGCGCATAAAGATGTTAAACAACATTGGGGACAGCACTGCACCCTGGGGTACCCAACACTCAAGTGGTAGTCTCCCAGACAGCTGTTCTCCTAGCGCCACCCTTTGTTCCCGACCCTGGAGAAAGGAGACAAGCCACTGTAAGGCGAGCCCCTGTATTCCCATGTCAGCGAGGCGGTGGGCGAGCAGCTGATGGTCGACCATGTCGAATGCAGCCAACAGGTCTAGCAACAGCAACACTACCAAACCACCCCGATCCAGGTGCCTACGGAGGTCGTCAGTAAGAGCAACCAGTGCCGTCTCTGTCCTGTGACCTGGATGAAAGCCGGACTGGAAGGGATCCAAAATGGAAGCATCATCCAGAAAACCCTGAATCTGTACTGCCACCGCCCTCTCAATCAATTTGCCCAAATAGGGCAAATTGGAAACCGGCCGATAGTTGGCCAATTCGGCTGGGTCCAAGGATGGTTTTTTCAGGAGAGGACGAACCATCGCCTCCTTGAGAGCTCCCAGGAACTGTCCCTCAGCAAGGGAATTGTGGGTTTTTTTGAGCCCCCGGAGGGGATTTTTTATTATTTTTTTATAACACTACAAAAACTACAACAGAAGAAAAGGGCAGGGAAGCTACATATACGGGATAAAGTAAAGAACCCACTACTAACTAAAAAACCAAGAGAGGAGATCCTCCAACTAGCTTAGTTACATCAAGTCTTCCCATCATGGATCCCTTTATAAACTGAGTCAACTATTTATAATACTTTTCCTTTAAAGCTTAAATTTAGCTGTCTAAAAACAGTACCCCCGATCATCCCATATCAAAAGTCTCAAAGGCACAATTCAGAGTCCTTCAGCCTTTACTTCTCCTTTCCCCTTCTCTTCCACAGCTTATAAGGACTTTTTGGGGCTGCTGCCCCTTGTTCTGACAGAAAGTCCTCTCCGGAAGAACCAGAGTCTAGCTCGTCACTGGACTTGCTGTCCTCTTCTTTTTTCCCGTCCTCTGGTCTTCCCAGCTGAATCCTTAGAAATTCTTGAGCTTTCTGAACAGAGTCAATCTTTTCTTTTTTGTCTTTAATCTTGAAAGTGACGCCTTCTGGAAATAGCCATTTATATCTAATTCCGGTTTTGGGCTCTCTAAGCCTTTCGCTTTCAAAAGTTTTTTCTCTGTCCTTCTTCCCCGCCATCTTTATCATTTGTTTACTTTCGTGAATTTTTAAAGACTTTATCCGCAAAATAGCTCGCAAAAGCCTCACAGCCAATCTCCAATTTCCTAACATTTGGGCTGCCCTGAGGCAGCGCTGTTATGGACCGAATTGTTCTAAATAATTGGGCCGGGTTAGAGCTAGCGGACGCAATCTCGGCTGCAAAGAACACCCTCTTTGCAGCCTTGACTGCCATCTCATAGGATCTCATAAATGTCCTATAAGATGCTCTTGTAGCTTTGTCGCAAACACATCGCCACCATCTCTCTAGCCGTCTTAACTCCCGCTTCATACCCCTCAGCTCCTGGGTATACCATAGAGTGAGTTTGGTGCAGGAGCACAGAGGGTACCGGGGAGCGATCTCGTCTATGGCCGTAGAGAGTAGGCTACGCCAGTCCTTGACAAGCTCATCTAATGAGCCGCTGGGGGGCATTGGATCCCGCAGAGCCCTCTGAAACTGCAATGGGTCCATTAGGCTCTGCGGGCGAGCCAAAATGTGCTCGCCGCCTAAACAGGGTCGGGGTGGAACATTCAGACGGGCCTTCAGGGCATGGTGGTCCGACCATGGTACTGCCAAGGTAGTAATCCGGTCCACTGTTACCCCAGCCGCGAAGATCAAATCGAGCATGTGTCCAGCCCGTTGAGTGGGGGTCGTTATAAATTGCGAGTGTCCCAGTGCTGCCATGGACGATACCAGGTCCGCAGCCTGTGTGGAGGTCGTGTAATCAGCATGGGTGTTGAAGTCACCCAAGACTATAAGCCTAGGGTGCTCCAGTACCCAGCCTGATATGGCCTCCAATAGGGACGGTAGGCTATTGGCTGGCGCGTTAGGCAGTCGGTACACCAGCCAGATCGCCACACTCTCCCCGGCTTCCCACACTAGGCCAACACACTCAATGCCCATGATCTCTAATGGCGGGAGCGCCCTAAAGGATTAGCAGGTGACAGAATGTTGACAAAGGAGAATGGAATGGTGGCTTTTATAGAGAGAGATGTATTTACTTATAATATGGCAAGTAGGCCCTGGGGTTAGTGGGTAAACTGGGACGGTCTGTTCAGAGTCTGTTCATGTGAAGTCAAGGACAGAGAATGAGCAGAATTTAAAATCTGCATAGCATCTGTGTGTGGCAAAAAATGTTCTTATTGCCCTATTGCTTTGAGAAGTAGGAATTGTCATAAATTGAGAGTTACTGAGAAGTGATCATTCTAACCAATTATTTTAATCTTTTTTAAGGTTACAGAGTTCTGCAACAGCAGTAGCCATAATGTTAATGCAGCAAATTTGCATAACAAACTATGCAAGTACAGAAGCACCTGGGAAGTAATCACAACATCTCAAGATTTTGTTGATTCATCACCATTAAGTGTTCCTCCACCTGCCCCAACTTTCTCCTTGCTACAAACCCAGGATAGAGTTTTATGTTTAGTACTTGATGTTTCTGGTAGTATGGCTTCCGTAAGTTATTATTTTCCATTTCTAAAAGTAAAGTTTATAGAGAATTGGTCAGTTTTAAGATTATGGCATTAATATCTACAGTCTTATATCAGTTCTAAATTGTTAAATTGTTAGAAATGTTGCATCTATTTTTGCCCTCTCTGGCAACAAAATTTAATATGTATGTTTTATCAAATCAAAGTAATTGATTAATGCAAAAAACGTTATTTTTCTCTTTTATGTGCAGAATAATCGAATTGATCGTCTGAATCAAGCTGCAGAAATATTTATCCGTCAGATTACTGAAATACCTTCCTGGGTTGGAATTGTCACATTCAATAGTGCTGCAACAATTCAGACTGGTCTTCAACAGATAATCAGTGATAATGTGCGCGATTCTCTTATACGCCTTTTGCCTACATCAGCTGATGGAGGAACTAAAATCTGTACAGGAGTTCAAAAAGGATTTGATGTAAGAAAGAAAATTGTCATCCCCTTTATCCTTTTGTTTTTCTTTGGGGTTTTTTCTGATTATGAATAATAGTCTTGAGTTCAAGTATTAGAAATCCAGATCACATTATTTCTTGGTTGCAGTCTTCCTTTTGGTTGATGATTGTGCCAAGAAACAGAAAATCTTGAACAATCACAGGTTCTTCATTGTCAACCTTAAAGCTGTGTAATTCCCAGTAGTCATTACTTTTTTCTTCTTGATGTTCAACTGTAATTCTGCTTTGACATGTTTTGCTTTAAACTTCATCAGTAGTTTCAAGTCTTCACTGTTTTCTGCCAGTAATGTGGGGTCATTTGCATTTCTCAAGTTGCTAATGTTTCTTCTGCCAATTTTCACTCCACCTACATCTAAATCTAATCTAGTTTTCTTTATATGTTCTGCATATAGATGGAAGCATAATCTCTACCATGGTACTAAAACATAAACATTCCGCATTGCTTATTAAACATCACTGCTAGGTGAGGGGGGAATCACATTTTTGCAGGCAACAGCATAAAATAATAATTATCATATGAAGAAGAAGAAAAAGAGAAGAGATTGGATTTATACCCCGCCCTTCACTACCCAAAGGTGTCTCAGAGCGGCTTACAAACTCCTTTCCCTTCCTCTCCCCACAACAGACACCCTGTGAGGTAGGTGGAGCTGAGAGAGCTCTTGACAGAAACTGCTCTTTTTCAAGAACAGCTGTGCCAGAGCTATGGCTTGCCCAAGGTCATCCAGCCAGGTGCAAGTGGAGGAGTGGGGAATCAAACCCGGTTCTCCCAGATTAGAGTCTGTGCACTTAACCACTACACCAAACTGGCATTGTATAGCCAGGAGAGCCTAAGATTGACTGGTTTGCCCAAAGTTCTAACTCTTTTAAGCGGCCCATCAGGTGTGGACCCATAATTTGATCTATGGATTATAGCAGTTCCAGTTTGTGGCTACAATATCAAACTGCTGTGCCATCTGTCTTGTTTATAGCTTGTTTAAATCTATTTTAACTATTTATTGTGGAAGATTTTAATGAAACGTTTTAATCCTTATTGTGAAATGTTTCAACTTCTGTTGTTATCTGCTTTGAGCCCATTCGTGTGGAGGTTGGAATAAAAGTAGAAATAAATAAATAAATTATGCACCACTAGGTGGTGAGCTAGACTTCTTTTTGGGCTGAGAGAGTCTGAGAGAACTGTGACTGACCCCAAGGTCACCCAGCTGGCTTCATGTGGAGGAGTGGGGAATTGAACCCGGTGTAACAGGCCGGATTAACCCCCCGGCCAGAGTAACCCTGGGGTTACTCTGGCCTAGCCTAGAATAACCCCGGAGGGGTTATTCTGGCCTAGGCTAGAGTAACCCCGGGTTAATCTGGCCAGCTGTAACAGGCCAGATTCACCCCCCGGCCAGAGTAACCCCGGGGTTACTCTGGCCTAGCCTAGAATAACCCCCCAGGCCAGATTAACCCCCTAGGCCTGCTTTCTGGGGCTGCTGTCTTTTTCTACTAAGAGAGATACTTCCCCAATAACCAGAGAGAACCACCTTCTGTTGCCAGAGGCGCTGCCTTTTACTCTTGGGAAGCCCCAATACCGAGGGCACCCCACTTATAACCTGACCCAGAGACCCACAGGACTCAGGCCAAGGAAGGCACCCAAGTCCCATGATGATTATCCTAGTGACTCTGCAAATGACAGCCTGAAGCAGAAGACATTCAAAAGACCACGCGAGGGACCAGACAATGATGACATCAACATCTCACAGAGATGCCAGCAGATGAAGACTTTCAACCCACTACCAAGTTCTGTAAGAAAGTATCTTAGCACCACTCTTGGCCTTTCATTTGTAAAGGTTGTGTA